ATCAAATTTACACTTGAAGTGTCTCAAGCGACAAGTGATCCAGTTCAGGGCACAGAATATGGGCGTGTTCTCATTCTACAGCCTCTTAACTTTTGCGCTCGATTCGTGAAGTGTGAAATGAATTTAATTTGTGTGGCTTTTCAAGTAAAATACGGTATCCTCCAAAGTGACGGAATTGAATGGAGTTTCATATAAAACAAATATTAAATGAATTGCTGCAATTAAACTTGATTTGATTTAAAAACTTTCTGAACAAGAAATTCATTTTAAAGTGTTCAAAATTTGTACCTTTTTCTTTATGATAATTTAGATGGCATTATTTAAATATTTAAAATAAAAAAGGACTTACTTGTTTTTTAAACTAAATTTGCGAATTTATTTCTGATATTTTCTATCATATAAAAATGAACATGCTCGGTCAAGAACTACCCAGCGCCAATGCTGCTGTGTTGCTCTGCACTGTTTGTTTTAAATGTACTTATGAAATAAATTTATATTTTTTTAAATTTAAATAAGTATATGTATTAAGGGGTATACATGGAAGACGAATTATGTTCGTAAATAAAAGATTTTGTAGACAACTGGCAGCTATCAGAAAATGCGCATGCTTTACCATCAGCTGCAATTTTTTTGCATTTATGTTATATTTTTGCAAACACGTTTCGTGTCTGGTGTCTTGTTGCACACGGTTTTTGGTAATCGTTTTACCGCATTTTCGTGGTTTCACATACTTTGCTCAGTGCTCGCAGCTTGTTTCCGCAACGATCCGACCGCAGCGACATGCCAATTGTGGCAAATGTTGTGGATTTGCGCAGTTGGCCGCGGCTCAAGGGAAGCGAACTTAAAACACGTTGAAAGGCGCAGCACAGATTGTCGTACAGAAATGTGGCAGCAAAATATAAGGTGGACTGCATAAATGCAGCAGCTATAAAGTCTTTTTGGTAGACTACAAAATGAACTACGTATTCACAGTTCTAAACAAGTACGTACATACTTACATACATGAATACCTTTTCAGCAAGCACACTAAAAGGGTCTTGAAATATGTTTACATTATATATAAATGGGTATTTAGAATATGTTGTTATTGTCCTGTGACACGTTTCATCCTTTAGCAACGGCTCGTCGTGAAACTCATACTCATCCTCATTGAGTTATTCGCACTTTATGATTCTTTTGACTTTTCACGCCTCGCTTGATTACCTGCCATTTTTTACGCTGTCATTTTATTTTTGCGCTTTTATTTTCTGTTTATACACTTACGTCTTATTTTGCTCAGCACCTAATTTGTCAATTGACGCTGCTTTTATTCGCATAGTTACTGTTGATTTACCCTCTAGTTTAAGTGGCAATTCAATTTAAACCATCAATTTGAAGTTGTACTAAAAATTGTGCTTTTAATAGGCACAATTCTCACAAAAACAGGCAATACTATAAAGTATAGTTAGTTTTCTCAAGTATATTGCCGCGTTTATTTGCCTCGCAAAAATCTAACATGTTTCCTTTCGTCGAGTTACATTTTCGAACGATTCTTTCTACATGTATTCCGATGTTTATCAGATGTCGTTCATTGGGTTGGCGTATGGTAAAACTCGAAAATGCCAAGTTTGGCGAAGATATCTGAAAGCTTGACAAAAATGTTCCAGGCAAGAGCTTATTCTTCCCATATGGCAGCTATATAAAGTGGCGATCCGCTGTTGATGGCATTCCTTAAAAATATAAGGAGCATACTGAAGCTAATAAATGTGGATTAAACTCGATTCAGTATTCTGATACATATTTATAAATTCATCGAGCAGGCTTATTTATTTGTGAAATCAAGACAAGTCGCCCGACCTTGTGCTTTAAACTGTCATTGCCGAAAGTGACTTTAAGGTCATACCCCGCTGTAAGGTTGGCCATTTTTAAGGGCACTTCACTTCACGTGAATGTAATTTGAAGCAGGAACAGGATGGGTGAATAAATTGGTTTCTGTCGTATAAAGCCATTACTTGGCACCCAGCACACAAAGGGCCACACTGTAGGTATGAATTTTAATATGTGTGCATATTTATATATAAAATATTTCACAAGTTGACAGGAAAGAGAACGTCAATAAAAACCAAAAAGTTATCGACACTTGGGGCTGGTGCCTTTCCAGGTGGGAACAAAGGGTTGTTGCCATTCTCGCCACATGGCTTAAACTATACTTTCAATTTTGAGTTCAAGAACAGTAACTAACTTTGTTTCCTTTTAAGGTTTACTTAACTTGAAGCATCAAATGTTAACAATAATAATAGCTGGATCAATTTAAACCAATTCTAGCCGTGAACGCACGAAACATAATTATAAATGTAGCACCAGTTTAGTCCAAATCTGAAGCCAAATTTAAAGCAGTAGAGTAAACCAATGACTTGAAGTACCAAGTTTTGTTTATTTAAATTTTACAGAAAGCTAACCGCCAGACTGAAGATGCTAGAACTAAAGTGGTTTTTAGTTTCACTCTCGGCTTATGCCAATAGCCCATGTTGGTCACATAACAAAGAAAACTTTTGCAACTTAAATTCAAGCACACTTACGCTTAAGTATTCCAGCACGAAGAAGCAGGCACATAAGCTGTCGTTAGTCCATTAACCAAACACCTATTGAGGTGATTGCGCACTTTCAACTCGTTGACACTGGCGTTAGCGAAGTGAGAGTTAAATTTCAGAAGGGCCACGGGCTCATTAGCAACATCAGAAGTGCGTTTGGCCTGAACCTGACGGCAACTAGGGCCAACGCATCGCTATCCCAGTTAGTTGGAAATGTCAGGCAGCCACAGCTAAATACTCGATCCTAGCTAAGGACTGTGTTAGCCATAAATTCGCTTTTGCTAACAATAAGGATATTAGATGTCACTGTCGTCATGTCTTTGCTTGTTCGTTGCTCGGAGTCCACAGTTCAGCAATGCAATTTCCATTGCAATGCATTTTCCTTCTCGATTTTCCCTACAAACAAGTAAAATGAAACGGCAATTTCTTGGCCATTTTCATATTGTAGTCATTGCTGTGCGTGTATTTGTGTGTGTGTGTGTGTGTGAATGTGAATTCATTGCTCATTGTGTGCACGTACTTTATTCATCTTTTATCCTTCTTGTTATCTGTTCTGTTCTACTGCAGCATTTCTTGGATTAAATTAAATTCAAGCTATGTGAAATTAACAAAACTGTTGTTAAGTGCAGCCGGTTTGATCATTGAATCTACTCGACCTGATACATTGCCCCAAACACAAACTGAATATCGATTTAAGAAACAAATTCATTTATGAATAACAAGATTGAGTGTTCTAGTTTTAAGTGACCGTTTAGGAAATACCCTGGAATCATTAAATGTACCCATGGATAGTCGATATAAGTTATATATATAATACTACATATGTAAGAGCATAAAGTCGTATCGATTCTGGGGAAAATTGATTTATTTCTTACAGGTAAGGAGGGCAACGGATATGGTCGTTGTGATATATAAATATATTTATGGATTCGGATATACGGCCTTTAGCCTATTTAATACATTTGCTCAAATCTATTGTAGCCTCATTCTCACACATTTTTAATGGTTATACGGTATATAAAATGGTTATACGGTAAGCAAATGGATGCCTCAATTTTCCTATATAAATCATGCCTCTTACATGCGTGCTTCCTGCCTGTCTTGCCGGTGTCCCCAATCCCATTTCCAATGTGCTGCCTTTTCGCCCCTGGGAGCGCCCATTGTTGTTACACATGTAAATAACCCAGAAGGAGAAACTTTATATGCATATCCCAAATACATAAGTAACTACATATGTATGCTGGTTGGTATTATGTATTTTTTGTCTTTTGGGAAACCTACGCACTGTTAACAAAATATTTCAACTTCGCTGCCTTCTGCATGCAATGCGTCCGACTCGGTTTGAATATACGGGCCATTGGATCCGTGCAGAGCCAGTGTGGCAGTCGGCTCGAGTGTTTGTAGTTGCACGGCTGAAGGCGGAAGGAAACAGGCCGTACAGAGCACAACACACAGCCGGTTACAGGAAATTATTTATATATTATTTTCTGCATCTTTTTTGTTTATTTTGTTCTTGTTGTTGTTGCTGTTGTTTTTTTTCATGCTCGTTTGTTTGGCAAGATTTAATATGCATTTTAATCAAAATAAAAAGTCGTTACCAAAATGCGGTAACATTAAAAAGTACATCGAGATGAAATCCCACTAACCGAATACAAAATATAAATAATAATTTCCGCTGGCGACCGCAGGACGCAACATATCCTTCTTTTCCACACAGCAATGACAAATAAAAAATAAAAAAACATAAAAAACAAATACAAAAAAAAGGGAGGAAAATCCTCGACAACAGCTGCGTAAAGTGCGTTCAATTATTTTTTGCTGTTCGTCTTTTTTTTTTTATTTTTTTTTGTCGTTGTTTCTTACTGCTTCTCTTCTTGCGCGCAGATAAACTTTCATCAAGCTTATACGTTAAAAAAAAAGGAACCAAAATTTTTGTGTTCGCTAAGAATTTTAAGCGAAACGCTTAAACGCTGCCCACAAAAACGAAAGTCACTTGGATAGCTATGCCAAGGCATGTCGCCGACTCTGAAACAAAATTCAATAGTAAACGATTTCTCCAATGTTTCAAATTGTTTCGCAGATTCAACTCTGTTGTGGGAGAGGCAATTTTTTATTTAGAATCAATTCTAAAATGTGAATAATGTATTTGTTATTTTTGTATTTTTATTTTTGAACGCTTTGGCGTTTCACGTGCAGTTAATTGACTATATGTACATATAATCATATAATTCTCTCTTGACTTCGCAGCAAACATCTTACATGTATTCCACATTATTAACGCTCGTGTGACTTTGACACCATCAAATTGGGTCGTCGGCTGTGGTCTAAAAGTTGGCTCACATTCGGCTACCCATTATGGTTTTGCCTTGTTAGCTTGAAGAAATGAAATAGGTTTGTATTACCTCAATGCAGGCGTCCCACATAATACAATTTGTTCCGCAACATTGATTTAATCCTTTTCTTCTGCCTCACCGACACACACACACAAACACACACACGCACACACACACACACGCAAACACAAACATTTTATGGCTGTGTAGTTGTTCGGCACAATTTCTTAAATTTTCCGTTGGTTTTGTTGCCGTTTTCCGGCATTTTTCGTCCTTACATTTTTTGCGCTTCTTTCTTACACATTACCATAAATTCCTTTTGGTTTTCCCTCGCTTAGAATTCGGTCCCATTTGAGCTTTCAATACATTTATATTTGCATTTACTGATTTGAAAACGCTGAAACGTACTTCCAGCTGCTTTCCGCACATTTAAAATTCCTTGCTCTTGCGTTCATCCGGCAAGGTAGCGTCCGTGCTCGGGGGGGAAGAAAATTATATTTTTATGTGAGCTGGCGGTAAACAATATGTGCGTAAGTAATCTGTGTTGACTTAAGAATCCACTGATAATCCATTATATTATGTTTTGTTTTATTTATTTTTTCTTTTTTTTTTTCAATTTATTTGTTGAAAGAAATTAACGGAAACAAATCAACTAAAAAAGTTGTTGTTTTTCTTAAGCTACCCACCATTCTTGGAAATATTCTTGAGTTTAGAGTAGGAGAACATAAACTTTATGAAAATAACAAATTATATTGTGAGAGGTTGGCCTTGTAAGCATATATTACAATTTAAAAATTGTTCAATGTACGCTAATCATTTCCTAATAAATAAATAAATGTTGTTTTAATATTTGACAATAAGAGCTTAATGCACCTAGATCGACTCCACAAGCAGCTCGTTTACTTCCGCCAACTCAGGCGGCAGATGTCCCACGACATTGGCCAAATCTGAAACACGGCACGCGTATAGATAACCTTTTTTGAGATCTTCAGCCTGCAGCCAGCGGAGGAACGAAGGCACAAGTTCCAGTTCTACAGGGTTACAAATCATATATGATTCCAGGATCTGGCTGAGTGTGGCGCTTGGATTGTTGACACCTACGAGCGCCAAGCCCCGACTTGGATATTTTTGGTCGATAAGCAAGCGGTAGTAGAGAAGTGGTACAGCCAGAACGCCGTTAGACTTGACATCTGTGGCTAGGTGGAAGCTAGTTTGAGCCACGTTTGGGAGCGGCATTACGCCATAGGTGCCCGTATAGACATTTACGGAGAGACCTAAGCGAGCCACAAGGCCACGCGTTGTGTCCTCCACAGTTGCCCAATGGCCACCATTGAAGCTCTGCCACTGAGGAGCCGCATTTAGGTAGTTAAAGCTGGTGCGCTGCTGGCTGGCATAAATCAGATCTGCCTTGGCCGCCAGGTGTCCGCGTGCCAGGTAGAGTCCCGACTTTAGAAAACTGTCTCTGCTGGCGTCGTCATCGGGATGCTGCCATAGTTGGGCCACCCGTTGCTGCTGGTGTGCCTGTGAGTAGAGACGGTCCATGTCGTAACCAAAAAATTGGCCGGCAGCGCTGAATTTAACGCGTTTCACTTGTCGCTGAAAGTGCTCGTTGGCTGGCAGCAACTGGTAGGCCGCGTAGTGTGTTCGCAGCTGGTCCGCATCGTGGCATAACTCCATGGTGCGCACAAATCGACCAGCGCTGATGTTATAGCCCACACGGTAAATGCGAGCCGGTGAAGCGTAATCACCATCCCCGCACGGCTGTTCCATACGCTCCACAACGTAGGATAGTGGATAGGTGCAGGAAAAATCTCTCAGCTCGTATTTTGTACCCGCCCAATCAAAGGTTGTGTCATGTAGGCAGCGCGCATATATGGAGCTGGGAGTAGACGTGGCACTGGGAGTAGACGAAACATTCTCATCGCTGTGGACAATCGCAAATGAGCGACTACAATAGAGCTCGATGCTGGCGCCACGCGGTATTTGCAGCTGCCCCACGTCATTGGGCAGCCAGTAGGTGTCCGTGCCAGGATGCAGGTAGAGCGGCTGCAGATTCGAGCTTGGCAAATCATTTTGAATGTCTAGTGTGCACGGGCCCCCTAAAATGAAGGGGCGTGAATATATTTCATATTGAAATTTGCCTAGCACACATTAGTTTGCTAAATGTAAGACTCAATATCTTGACAAAAACTTAGCGAAGCTTTGTCTCTAATTGTGTCTTAGCGTTAATTTTAAATTTAGATATATATTATTTTTTTTATTTATATCGGTACACATGCACTCACCCCGCTGAATTGTCTCTTCCAAATGGACTTCCTCAAGATCTTTGATAATTTGACCCACTTCTGCCGTTGGCTTTATTGCTTCGCGCGCTTGAATCTCGATCGTGGACGCGATCATCAACAAAGTTAACAAAAATGTATGCATGGTCAACAGCGGCAACGTCTCGAAGTGTGTCGTGCGGCGTCTGGCCGCTAACTAAATAATCTGTGGCTTATACAGGTGTTTTTCTGTTTACATTTTGCACGATAAATTCATATGCTATCGCTCTCTCTCAATCCATCTCTCTTTGTCTCTCTCTTTAAGCACACAGCCGGTTTTAGTGATTCGATGTGCCCGAATTACGTAGAGAGCGCTTTGTGTTGTATGTAATGTTCTTAAAATTATGGGTGTGCTTGCAGTTTCTTTAAGCACGCCCGATCAAGCTTGGCTTATTGTTTTAAAAAGAATGTATTGATTTCTATTCATTTCGCTTTCATTAACATTTCATCTTGGAATTTAAGGTTAACAATTCAAAACTCGCCCAGTTGCTGCACTTTCACTCTGTTTATTCCATTAAAAAATACATAGTTTTTAAATTGGTGATATAACGCACATAAAGACACATAATTCTTTATATTTATCTTAAAAATTGAAAAAACTGTCTGATTCCGTTTCGTTTGAGCGTTTTCTTGGTCTGCGCGAGCTACTCTCAGTGCTTATACTGCTTACAGTGACACTTGCATCCACAAAGGCACCATCTGAGTCTTGGTTAAGAGACGTCTGAGTCATGTAGGCAGCGGATCCGTAATCTGACGAAATGTTAAGTCCTTGTCCCTGTTTCCAGTCTGCTTGCATAGTGTAGGGACGCCCGTTGATCGAATAGGACGATTTTTGCATTGCCTGTCTACCATTTGCAAATCCAGTAGTCTGGGCTGAATATTGAACGGCAGCGTTATTGTTGTTGTTCCATTGTCCAGGGTTGCCACCCATTTGACCCATTCCTCCTCGTCCACCCATTTGTCCCATTCCATTCCCACCCATTCCATTTCGACCCATTCCCATACCACCGTTTCCGTTAGGCCCATTCGGACCGTTAGGACCTATTCTCATACCACCTAGTCCCATGCCCATTCCGTTCCCACACATTCCAGCATAACCGATTCCATTCCCTCCCATCCCACCATTGCCACCTCTTCCACGCATTCCATTGCCACCCATTCCATTTCCACCCATTCCATTTCCACCCATTCCATTGCCACCCATTCCATTGCCACCCATTCCATTTCCACCCATTCCATTGCCACCCATTCTATTGCCACCGCCCATTCCATTGCCTTGCTGTCCAGCTTGTCGACGTCTGTCAAATCCATTCACACTTCGCTTCTTGCGATTGGACGTGTTCATGTTGCCATTCATATCATTTGAATTCATTCCATTTCCATTCATTCCATATCTATTTCTGCCATTGCCGTTCATTCCATTTCTATTTATTCCATTACCATTCATTCCCGTTCCATCGTTAAAGTTTCCACACATTCCATTTCCCCTTGGACCCATTCCACCAGCACCCATTCCACCTGGACCCATTCCACCTAGACCCATTCCACCTGGACCCATTCCCCCAGGACCCATTCCACCATTTCCGTTGCCACCTCTACCACTCATTCCATTGCCACCCATTCCATTTCCACCCATTCCATTACCACCCATTCCATTACTACTCATTCCATTACCACCCATTCCATTACCATTTCTACCCATGCCCATCCCATTGTCGCCTCTACCACCCTTACCATTTCCACCCATTCCGTTTCCACCCATACCATTTCCACCATTACCTCCGCCCATTCCGTTACCCATCTGCCCAGCCTGTCGCCGTTTGTCAAAACCGCGAAGTGATCGTCTAAGTCTTTCTAGTGAAATACCTGAAATCAATTATCATATTGCGTTTTATAGAACAATTTTAAATTTCTTTAATTTCTATTGGCAAAATTACAATTAAATATTGAACATTTTACAGATCAGTAGATTTTAATTGTATTTAATTGGTTATTTTGCAACACTGATTATCCATATGAGTTGTAATCGTTATTATTGTTGACGTAATTGTTATTGTTGTTGTTGTAGTAGTAGTCGTAGTTAGGACTTTGCGTTGTGTATGGGTTATTGTAAGTAGGATAAAGCCCGCCTGGCCCATAATATTGATTGTAGCTGTAGCCGACGCCAGCTACACTCACCACGCCAATAGGCAGAATGACAACTGACATCGGCGGCATTATAGTATATTGGGTTGGAAGCATGGGCATTGCCATTGGCATGGGTAATGCTGGCGGATAATACACAGGAGCTGGAAGGGGTCTCGCTATCGGCATTGGCATTGGCATAGGCATGGGATAAGGTATTCGTCCTGGCATAAATACTTGTCGTGTGGTAACATTATGTATGGCTTGAGATGATTCTAAATCCATGTCAATGAAGTCTGGAGAATCTGGGAAGATCAATTGCCAAAAGAAAAAGAGAGACCTGTAAAGCGAATAAATTCTTATGAAGCAGTGCCCGCAAATGGCAGATTCACATTAATGTTATACAAGTAATAGTTGGGCGTTGGATTATAGTAGCCGGGATAAGTCGAAGTGTATGTTGTTGTCTGACGACCCAATTCCGAACCTCTGCCATAGTACAAATAGGTCGGATAGGCCAGACTGATGGACATATACGGATTCAACTGAGGCGGTGTTTGTCTTGGCTGTATGGGGGACAGTAATTGACGTGGCAATGGTGCTGGGACAGCACCTAGTGGTAACGGTAACGGCATTGGTAGCTGTGATTGCGGAGGGTACAAGACCTGGGGTGAACGTCGAAGACGCATTCCAGATGAGTCTGGCGAGTAGAAGAAGCAGAAACAGAAACTACTTTAACCCCTAAACGGTTATATAAAGCAAATAGTTGCTAGTTGGTGCGGATGGCCTAATGGATCTAGCAAGCGGATAGCCTTGTGCCAGTCTGGGATAGCAATTGAAGTAACAGGGCGGTGATGGAGACATCAACTGAGGCCTGGAAGCGGGATAAGGCGGCGCAGACCTTGAGGCGGGCATGTAAGGTGAGGCCGCATTGGTGCAGGCATATGGATAGTAGGGACTGACAATGCAGGGCTGTCGCCAGGGTTGGCTATTGAAATTGGGATTGGGGCTTGGCATGGACTGCTGTGTGCCATCCTGTACAATGACCAAAACATTCGCCTGTCTCTGATCTGCATGGCTGGCACCTGGATCAGCGCCTGGCGCACCATTTAGGAGCTCTATGCCACTGTCCGTATCTGTGTCCGGCTTAATATAAAGTTGTTGGTTCAGATGGAGCGTGCTGGTGCTGGGACTAGAGATGGGTGCGCTGATGCTACGAGTGTTAGCTGTGGTGGATGTGGTGTCGATCGTGAAACGATTTATTTGCTGATCTGAAACGGATCAGTAAAAAGTTTGCCGTGAGTGTGTGCCGATGAAAGTAGTGAGATTCATACGGAATTTACGCACCTGGGCTAAACGAACGCTCCACGCATTTGGGATACTGGCCGCAGTGCTCGCCATCTTGTTGATCCTTTTCGCAGGCCACGTTGGCCAAAACACATCGTTCAGTAGAGGCACAGCTTATGTCGCGACAATCGCGTCCAAATTCTGTCAAATTCAATCCAGTTAACAAACGCATCACTGTTTACAAACGGTCACTTACTTCTATAGGCATTGACATGGGCTCTTATGACCACAATCATGACCAATATGCAACAGGCAACGTAGCCAATTCGCCACTTAATAAACATGACTCAGATATTTGTTAACTCTTGTTTTCGTAACTGAAGTCTGCTCTCATTGTGGGTTCCATTTTATATAATTTTTGTGATATGCTTGAATTATTTTGTACATTTCGCGCACAAATTATTCAAGCGAAGCTTACCAAATTTAATTGAAAATAACTGATTAATTATGGCAATGCTGATAGCTATGGGTTATTTAACGGAATATTCGAACTTAATTATGAAATTATTTTGATTTAAAAATTAATTAAAACCCCAAACATTTTGTTGACTTACAGCAAAATTTAACAAAAATCAAATGTCGTTGACTTGCAGTAAAGCCCATTAGAGGAAATTGTTATTGGGAGACAAAAAACACATGCATACAATTAAAGAACTAATATTGTTTACATTGTACGATTTGTGCTGATAAGCAATGTCAAAGTCATGGCAAATCGGCTAAGGTGAAACGTGTGGCACACGGGCACATTTGCGTTGGTTATAAATTCTGGTAATTCCAAAATGGATGTTATCGAATTGAAAACAAAAAGCGCTTATCGTTGTTCATTTTTTATTTTTACTTTATTTATTGTATGCTTAGATTATTATTTTATTTGTTCAAAATTTGTGATACGGTTCGCTTAAAGTTAAAGTTAATTTACGTCGAAATACCTAATATGCCATTCGTTTGCAGACTCTCCAATGGCAAGTCTTTGACAACTTCAATGAAATCTTCCACAGTACAGGCATACGAATAACCCTTCTTTAGATCCTCCTTGGTCCAACTAATCCAGCTGATTTGATCACCAATGTCCGGGCAGATAATGTATTCTTCCTGAATCTCCTGCAGGCTAATATGCGGATTGTTAACGCCCAACAGTACAATGCCCTTGCGGCTATCCCGATCGATAATCACACGGAAATATAACGCGGGCACTGGTATCAGACCATTGTTATTCACATCAAAGTCCAGATAGAGCTCGTGGGGCACGCCCTCTGCATCCGGCAGCGTGGAGACGCCCCATGTGCCTGTATAACAATCCACGGTAATGTTCTCATCGGCAACGAACTTCCTCACGCTATCCTCGATGCGCTCCCAGTTGCCCGCATTGAAGGTCTGCCATTGGGGCGCGGCATTCACAAAGAAGAAGCTCGCCTGCTGGGCGGCACCAAAAATGTAGTCCGTCTTGGCGGACAGGTGGCCCCTGGCCAGATACACGTTGCCGCTAACATTGAAATATGGCGAGGCATCCATGCCCAGAATTTCACTGATTGTGATGTTCTGCTGCACCTGTGTGTACTTGCCGTTGACGTCCTTGCCGCCATAGAAGTCACCAGTTATAAAGCTGGGCCGGCTGACAGATCGCTGATACTGTGCACTGCTGGGCGTCAGCACATGGTGCACATAGCGTGTTACCTCTTCCAGCTCATTGTGGCATACATCGTACGTTTGTAGGAAATCGTCGTGTTCATCATTGTTGGCTAGCTGAAAGCCCACCTCCAACAGATTGGTGCCGCCATTGCACTGGCGATTTGTGCGTCGGGCTGTGTAGCTTGGCCAGGAGGTGCACACAAAATCGTTGATCTGGTAGACACTGCCAAGCACCAGAAAACTCTCCTGTTGCCAGCAGCTGGCATTTAGTCGAGCATAGTCCGCGAATTGTCCTTGAAAACTGCTTGAGCCGCTGCAGTGCAGCTCAACTGCCTCTCCGTGCTTCAGCTCCACAAGACCCTGCGTATTGGGCTGCAGATATTGTGGCGTACCCTGTGCGTCACGCAAAACAAAGAGCGGAGCTGGATCTTTAAGATCGCCGTTCACGCGAAAGTTGCACAACTGCTGTGGCTGCTCTTCGTCGAATTCAGTTACACCTAGCAAGCCTGTGGTGTGTAGCTGATCCAGTGGCAGATCCTTGACCACAGCAGTAAAGTCTTCAACAGAGCATGCGTAGGCATAGCCCTTCTCCAGCTGCGCTTTATCCCAGTCTAGCCAATCGAGCTGTGCACCCACATCCTCACACACAACATAGTCCTGCAGAATCTCGGCAAGGCTGGCATGTGGATTATTGGCCACCACCAAGGCAATGCCCTTGCGACTCAGCTGATCGATGACAATGCGATATACCAGCCGAGGAACAGGCAGCTGCTGTGCGCTTGCATCCAGATAGATCGGCGTCTGTTCGCCGGCGGCATTTGGCAATGTGGACACGCCCCAACTACCTGAATGCACGCTGACATTCAGCGCCTCATTGGCCACAAACTGGCGCAGACTACGCTCCACAGCCAGCCAGTTACCAATGTTAATGCTGCGCCACTGTGGTACGGCATTAACATAGAAGTGGGTGGCGCGTTGCGCTGAGCCGTGTACAAAATCTTGGCGAGCAGCGAGTTGACCACGTGTTAGATAGAAGTCGCGACTGCTGTCTAGGTACTGACTCGCGTCTAAGCCGAGAATATCGCTGAGCGCCTCAAGCTGATGCGATTGGCTATAGAACACATTGACGTCCTTGCCAGCATAGAAGTCGGCACGCAGATAGCCCGGCTGTGCCACATTCCGCTGATAGGCAACATTGGCTGGGGTCAGCTCGTAGCGTGCATAGGGTGTTATCTGTGCCTGCTCATCATAGCAGAGCTCCAGCTGCGTTAACAGGCCGGCGGCCACATTAAATCCAATCTGCAGCAGCTCAGTGCCGCCCTCGCAGGGGTCACCAGTACGCACGGCTTCGTAACTGGGCCATGTTTGGCAGCTAAATGCGCCTATCTCTACATTCAGGCCTTCCGCCTCGTACATCTGATTGCCCACACAGCGTGCCGTTAGTGCGGTATATCGATTGAAGGGCGTGGCCAGCGCTGCTGTGCAGTGCAAATCAATGCTGGATCCATCATCGACAATATAAATACCCGATTCGGTGGGCAAAAGCCAACTTAGTGCGCCCTGTGGCGTAAGCAGTGGGGCAGGATCCCTAAGATCGCCATTGATGCTAAAGTAGCATTGATCGGGGTTAGGAGTGGGAGACGGAGTAGTAGTTGGGGTGGCCGGTGCACCGGTTGTTGCAGTTGAACTTGATGCTGTGCTTGAGGATTCGGTAGAGCTTTCCGGTGGCGTTGTAGGCGCTGCAGTCGTTGAGATTGTCGGAGCGGTGGTGCTAGACGATTCGGTAGAGCTTTCCGGTGGCGTTGTCGACGGCTCCTCAGTGGTGCTGACTGTAGAAAGCGTGCTAGGATACTCGGTGGAGCTTACTGGCGACGTTGTCGACGGCTCCTCAGTGGTGCTGACTGTAGAAACCGTGCTAGGATACTCGGTGGGGCTTGATGGCGACGTTGTCGATGGCTCCTCAGTGGTGCTGACTGTAGAAACCGTGCTGGGATACTCGGTGGGGCTTGAAGGCGACGTTGTCGATGGCTCCTCAGTGGTGCTGACTGTAGAAAGCGTGCTGGGATACTCGGTGGGGCTTGATGGCGACGTTGTCGATGGCTCCTCAGTGGTGCTGACTGTAGAAAGCGTGCTGGGATACTCGGTGGGGCTTGATGGCGACGTTGTCGATGGCTCCTCAGTGGTGCTGACTGTAGAAAGCGTGCTAGGATACTCGGTGGTGGTGCTTGACTCATTATCCAAACCAAGTATTCCATTTGTGTGCAGATCATCAAGCGGCAAGTCCTTAACAACTTCTGTGAAATCCTCCACAGTGCAAGCATATGAAAAGCCCTCATGCAGATCCTCTTTAAGCCAGGAAACCCAACTTAGCTGATGTCCAATATCTTCGCACACCGTGTAATCACTTTGAATTTGTTCCAAGCTGACATAGGGATTGTTAACACCCACAAGAACAATGCCCTCACGGCTAGCACGATCGATAATGACACGGAAGTACAATTTGGGCACTGGTATCAGACCATTATTGTTCTCATCAAAGTCGAGATAAAGTTCGCGCTCGATGCCATCTATGTCGGGTAGCGTAGAGACGCCCCAGGTTCCGGTATAGCAGTCAACTGTCAAATTCCGATCCGCCACAAATTTTCGAACGCTCGTCTCAATACGCTCCCAGTTGCCGCCATTGAAGCTCTGCCATTGCGGGGCCACGTTGATGAACAGAAATGTGGACATTTGCGCAGCGCCGAATATCTGATCCGTTTTCGCAATCATGTGGCCGCGAGCTAAAATGCGATCTTCGCTGTAATTAAAGTAGGGCGACGCATCCATGCCCAAAATCTCGCTAATTGTAATATTTTGCTGGACTTGTGTGTACTTGGTATTAACGTCCCGCCCGCCGTAGAAGTCCAGCTCCACGAAACTCGGCCGCGCCACCCCATGTTGATAATCGTAGCTAGAGGGATACAGCACATGGTGTACATAGCGTGTGACCTCGGTTAGCTCATTATGGCAGACATCGTAGGTTTGTAGAAAGCCATCGTCATCCAGCTGAAAGCCCACCTTAACCAGATCTGTACCACCATTGCACTGACGCCCGGTGCGTAGCGCCGTGTAGCTGGGCCACGCAGCGCAGCTAAAGTTGGCAAATGGGTAGATCAGATTGTCGACCAGGAAGTATTTTTGCTGCAGGCACTGTACAGTTAGTTGTGTGCGGTTTTGAAAGGGTGCTGCAAAGCCAGCACCCGGGCAGAACATGTCGAGCAGTTCGCCATTGGTCAGACGCACTGTATCCGTCGGATCGGGCACGATTAGCTCGTAAAAGTCATGTCGCGCGAAAAGCGGAGCAGGATCATTGAGATCACCGTTTACACGAAACTCACAATCTCCAAACACGGGAACACCCTGTTCACCCTCAGCGTAGGGCAACACGCGCGGCAAGTGACGGCTAGACGCGGAGCTGAAGCTGATCACCAGCTCCAGGATTAAGATCACAGTCACGTAGCACTTCATAGCACTACGTCTGAGCTCGTTATGCCAAACTTTTCGCTTGTTAAGAACGTTCTTATATGACTACCACAGCGTCAAGACTTCAACTGTCGAAATTATCGTTATCTTAACTTAGCAGCCAGCCCACTTATTTATGACAGTTGATTATAAATTATGAATAGCTCAGTTTAAATAGATATGTATGCCCGCATAATGATTATAAAATTCGGGTACGATTCTAACTCTTCCGTACAATTTATTTATGGAATTGTTAACCATTTAAAAGAGGACAGCTGTCCAATATAATTAGCTCTAGCAAAATTGTTGTGAATAACTTATCAATTATTGAGTGGATTTATGTTGATAAGCGTTTGCTTATGAGATTTGCATAGTACGGCCGTAAAAACAGAGTCAAGCTGATAAGGCAATTAAATATCTGAAATCGGAGTAAAGTGTTCGATATTAGTAGACTTCCTAATTTATATTTTCTTCTTAGACGTTATAAATTCTTATCAAATGGGTCTTATAAATTTTATAGCATTATGTAGTTTATAATTTATATTTGGAAATGAAATAAGCTAGTTTCCTAAAGACCAAACAGTTCTTGGAATTAGTTTTTGACAATGTAGTTAGTTTGTTTGTTTGTTCACATGCATCACAAGCTAAGGCAGCTGAAATGCAATTCCCTTAAAGAATAAATAACATAACGAACTGTCACTAACTAATTGATTTCTTATGCCGGCCTTTGCAACGTACAAGCCATTTATGACCATAGAAATCAAATGTTTATCAGAGGCTGAAAAAGCATACGAATAAATTCCATCAAAATCAACGGCAGGCAAAAACTCTCCGTGTGTTTATTTGTGCTGAAGACTGTTTTTCCAAAACCCAAAACAATTATTTAACCGATGCGACCAATGACTAATTTGCAGCACTGTACGTGCGTGCGGATTCTGGCAAATTGACTGCCCGAATTTTCATGGTATGTAAAAAGGCATAAAAACACACACACTCACACACACACATATGCGCCAGCAAAGATTGCTCGACTGGGTGATATCCTGTACACAGAAATCTAAAACGTTGGTTATATTCCTGGAAACATTTGCACAGCCTTATATCCCATTTCACTTTCTAGGTCTAGGGTATACAAATAACGAATTGGAAAAAAGAAGAAGAAATTATATGTAAAAACAAATGATTTGGTAATTGGATTTCCAGAAATACAATTTGTTCGCATTTGTTGCTGACAGCTGCTACTCACAGATGCCCCGCCAATAAAATGCAATAAACAAGTGAACACTTCTCAATGCACGACAATTGATTTGAAAAGAAATATTTACCATTCGAATGCCACTTGACGTACTACCCACATACCTTTTTAATATAGAAGCTAAGCAAGTGCTAATCAATATGTGCACGTTAATTTAAGTGATAACTAAATTTCATTTCTGATAATTTAAGGAAATCAGTTCGAGTGTCATTCCGACGAAATATTCAACAGCATGATACCTAAAGCTATTAATTAGTTAAATAAATTTGTGGAATTCATGTCATAGATATGCCCTATGCTGTATAAATTTATCCCAAATATATGTGCGTTAATGAGTAAATTAGGCTTCTATTTACATTCGTGCTTTGCATTTGGGGACAACAAATTTAGGTAAGCGCGCCTGGCTATGACAATTTGCGCATAAATTTTGATTTTCCATAATTTATGTTAACTAATCGTAACACACGGCGTATGCGTATTGTACTTGTCATAGGCTAACAATTAAAATGACTGCCAAAATTGGCGCAAGTGACTGAGGGGTAGTGCAGAAACAACATCTGGCACTTGACTCTTGCTAATGGCAACCTTAATTATAAATTTTCATCTTCACTTCTTTTCAATTTCAATTTTCAACCCGTTGCCCCGTTGTCAGCTGGCTGCAGCAGGTCGTTGCTCAATTAAAAGTGCATTAAGATATTGCACGGCAGGTCACAATGTTAAGGCGCCAGATGCTGGCTGATTATTTCTTGCCTGATTGCAGTCACTTAATGAAAGTGCTTAATTCGTGAGGGACAGATGCAGCAAATGGCATTGAATGTAGCTAAGAACAATTTCTGTGCACAAAGTTGCACAAAGTTGAAATGTGAAATCAGAAGAAATAAATTCGAAATATTTGGCTAATTGGCAAAGAAATTATTCTACATTAACATGATTATGTTCGGAATACATATTGTTCATGCACTAAAAGAAAGCTTAAAGAGCACCTGGCGTTTATGGGATATTAAGACAGCAACAATTGTATGCATATACCCATATTTATAGCCTGATGCCATTTTTCGAGCACCTTTTTATTCAGTCTTTTGGAAGAAGTGAGCTGAAAAGCTCTTGTATAGCGTATAAGCCCCCTCGAATAACACTGATACGCCGTGTGACCGACGCTGTTGATGGCAGCATCGCGGCATTGAACAAATGAACAAGAAGAAGAAGAAGAAGAAATGTAGATGGCGTTGGCGGCGTTGGCGGCGATGGCCAAACCGGCCACTGCCGCTGGCACTGATAGCCAGCAAGGCGGCCTTTCAAGTGCAGCTGGCAAACGCGCCAACTGCAAAAGACAGCGCCAAACAGGGCAGCGAAAAAAGCAGCGCACTCATTTTTTTTATATATTTTCATTTTGCTGTTTTTTTTTTGTTAATTTTTTTTTTGTTTTTGTTTTTTAAAAGGGATGTGGCTGAGATTCTTTTTTTTTGTGCTCTTGCCAGTTGTAAGCAATTTTTGCAGCTCTCTTTCTCTTGGGCGAAACATTTTAATTTAAATGTTAAAACGTGACGATAGCGCAGTCACTGGGGGATATGAGACTGTCTCCTGTGCCAAAACGTCAGTCAGTCAACGACACATGCAGTTATCCACATTATACCGTACCTTAATAAAAAGGTCACTTAAAATTTGAGTGCATTTTATGCAACATAAACAAATTATTCATTTAATTAGTGCTCTAGTTTAAGCTAAAACAAATCGCTGAAAATTGTAGTTTTGCTCTTCTTTTTCAGATTAAGACTTCTCGCGATTTGCTTGTAGGGTATTCACTTGTTTGTGTCTTGCTGTTCTTGCATGTTTGTCAATCTTGCTGCTATGTCATTGTCAGCTTCGTGATGTGGCTACTGTTGTTGTTGTTGTTGTTGTTGTTGTTGTTGCTGTTATTGTTGTGGTTGTTATTGCTTGTTACTTGAGTGGATTACCAGCGATGTTCAGCATCCAATGTCCAAAGGGACCGAAGCAGCCCTTGGACAAAAAACTTGTTAAATTATGCCTGGTCAAAAATTTGAATGACGGCGCGCTTTGGTTGAGCCGAGGGCAAAAACGTGGATTCTGTCGAGCCGTGGTAACCACGGCTCAAGTGCCAATTAATAAGTTTCGCCATCGGCATGCGTAAAAAAGCCCAACAGCCACAACAACAACAACAACAACAACAACAACAACAACAACAACAACAACGACAATAATAAAAAGGAACCCCTTCGGTTGGTGGCGGACCGCGCCCGTGTCATGTGATTACTGTGTGCAGTTGATGCTGTTCAGTCGTTGGTCAGTCCTGTGTGCATGAATTATTCAAAGAAAAGGATATTAAATGCAAATACACACGTACACAAAAATACATATACAGAACGCGTATATGTACATACGTTTATTTGATGTCCCAGTGTTGTTTTTGCTGCTGTTTGCCGAAGAAGGATGAAAACACGCTTGAGTAATTGGAAGTTTTTACTGCCGCCTCGTTTGCCCCAATTTCGCGCATACTGTTGCTCCCCTTGTTGTTGTTGCTGTTGTTGTTGTTGTTGATGGAGCAAATTTTAATTAATAATGTGCGGCTTCACACATTGCCATAAAATATTTATGCTGGCTCGGTGGGTACTTTAGACTCTCGTTAAAGTTTATTGGCAAAATTAAATTTGCCTGGCTGTTTAGCTGCATTATCGTGTTCTTAATATTCCGATAATGCCAATTGGGTCTTGCGATTTCAAAATCGTATAAATTTATGAAATTTGCGAGACCAGAACAATCGTTCACATTGAGCACAAGCTACACTCACCTATCAATGCTTTTACGAACTTCAGTTTTATTTATATGCTCAAGTTTTATTCTTGTTGATTTTAAGGAAGCACAATTTTCAGTTTCTGCTATTGTTGTTTGAGAGTATTCGCAAGAAGACCGTTAATACATTTGCCCATTGCCATTTATTGTATTTTAATTAGCAAAAATGCTGTCAGTATAAGTATCGGCAAGCGAGAATTGAACAATAAGTAAGTTTACATGTAGTAATATGCATTACGATATCAGGGTCGCCTCAAGTGCATTGTTGCCATTGTTGTGCGTTGTTCGTTGGCCTGTTGCTGTTTTTCTTTCACTTCAGACGGTGCTCGTTTCACTTTCCGGCTTTTGCCAACCCTACTGAACAGTGCTCTGGCACAAAAGGAAATTTTCAGCAACAATGTATGTTGATTTTAACTTTTCCATGTTGCAGTTCTTTTTGTTGTTGTTGCTGTTGTGTGTGCTATTGTTACTATCTGTAATGCTGCCGTTGTGCTCGCTGCAACGTTTAATTCAATGTAAACGTGTTAAAGCGTGCCCAGCATGCGGAAAAACAGAAAAACCGTTCTCAATTGAAACAAATAAGGAATGGCTGCTCAACTGACGGACTGATGGGTACTGCTTTCCGACGATTGATCCGCTTTCCAACTGGTCCGCTGCCTGACAAACACTGGCAGTAACATCATCATCATTATATATATATATATATATATATCATTTCACACGCGTGAGGGCCCATCGACAACAACGGGAATGTTAAAATTCACTCATTTAATTTGATTTTAATTTCACCGGTTGCTCTGTGAATGCAGCGTGTGGCAAATGAAATTGAATCCTGGCCAATAATCAATCCGGTTTTAATTGAGTCAAAGCTCTTCGCCAGCCTTTACTTATATATTACATACATTAATTTTAAATCATTAAAAGTACCTATTGATTATATTATTTTATTTCTGCTGTTTCAATACATTTCCCGTTCAATTATGAGATTATATTTGCTAAAGGTTATCATTTTGTTCTGTTCTTAAAATTAAATAATATTAAGATCACAGTTGAGTATTAACTGTTAAAATATGGTTATTTTTCATTCCGACCAGACTTGATACACATAATACATAAAATCTTCATAATTGAACATTTCAACATTTCCAAGAATCAATCTCAAATGCTGAGCAGCTTAGAACTTTGTTGCGTTTAGATAGTTCCTATTGAAAATACAAGTTAATCGATGTTTTTGTAGCGAATGTATTTACTTGCCTTATTGTGGCTCGTGCAATCCGTAAAAGGAAGTTCAAGCTTCAGCGACTTTTGGTTCGGTTCCGTTCTGGTCTCAAACAGCACTTTTGTGACGTTCTCTATAAAATCAGGGCTTACGTTACCCGAAGCAATGCGCAAGAGTTGCAACTGTTTGCATTCCCCTATGACTTTTAGCAGGGCAACAGAAATTTCAGTTCTGCTAGACATCCAAATGCTCAGCTCCTGCAGTTGCTTCAAATGCGACAGCATCTCCACACTTTCGGCTGTCGAGCAGAAGCACTTCAGCTGCCGCAGGCCGCACTGTCGGACAATTTGCACTGTCTCCTCTGGGCTGAGGGTGCCTCCATCGATCTCCAGACGTTGTAGCTCTTGCCGCCGCGCAGCCAAATCAGTAAGCAGCGGCACAAAGGAGCCGCTGCGCCGAACCCCAAAGTGCATAAGTTGCTTTAGCTTAGGCAGCTTAGCTAGTGGCTTGTAATCGGATGCCTCTGCCATCATGCCAAATTGAAGAGTTTCCAGATTGGCACAATATGGAACTATATCGGACAGATTACGCTGGACACTGTTGTAGCCGAGGTTTAGATGGCGTAGATTGAGATTCGATCTGCAGCACTTGGCGAGAAGTGGAGCGTTTATTTGTGTTATGCGCATATGTATTTCCTCAAGATGGTTGAGGTGGATTAAATTATCATAGGTAAATTCTGCAATGGAAGACGAGACTTAGTGGCAAAACAGACCGAATGAGAGAGAGAGAGAGAGGGAGGCTTGCTCCCAATTTCACTTACCATCTCTGGCATGCAATTCTAAAATTTTGAGCTCAGTTAAGCCCTTGACGGCAGCTAAAATTTTTTCAAAGGGTTTTTCAATTGGAATGAAGGTCCTTTCTTTTCACTTTTTTACTATTAAACGCTTCAAGCTGACCATGCCGGTTAATGTTAGGCAAAGTATGCTAAAACAATTGATAGGTGCCACACATCCATAATACCGAAATGTTCGCGACGTATCAAAGTACTCCAAATCGATGCTTAGACTCTCGACTGATTCGCGGTAAATACAGAATCCGATCAGCTGTTGCCTTGAGCTGTTTTCATCAAGCGTAAACTGGCGAAATTGTTTTCCGGCACACGCTATGAACACCTCACGAAATCGACAACAGACTTGGGCAAAACTGATTCGATCCTCAGCCGTCAGATAATTCAGCAAATAACCAAGGCAATCATCTTTTAAGTCCAAAATATTCAACGCGCTCATTTTAGCGAACTCGCGTATTGCGCTTTGAATGCGAGACTGAATTCGAAATGTTATTAAATAACTATAAATTCGCAATTCTAGCAAAGGCCACGTATCTCAACCGCATGACTAATCAATAGCTATTCACACAGCGATTAGATGTGTACCTTAACGAGTTTGTTTGTTGCAGTTCGGCTCGGCAGATAGTTAGCAAGCATGTTTAGTTAGTCTGCCATTTCACAATATAATTAATATATTCGTTTTTCCCCAACAACAAAATGCAATAGAGTCTGGTATGGGAATTGCTGGTCTATAGTCTATAAGTAAAAACTGCAATAATAAAAAACTAATAATGATGTTGCTCACTTATGCTGATAAAATTTATTAAAATTTTTGCAGCTCTCTAAATTTAGCACACGTAAAATTTAAGACTAAAAATTTGAGTTATACCTATTATAATGTCTGATCTATGCTGTGGGTAAAACTAGCCTGATGCATGTTTCAAGTCCCTATTTTTTTATAGCAGGTATATACCGATCGATCTTGGGATCCATGTAAATCGTGCACAAGCTGTCGAGCTGCGAGGCCGGTTTGTTATTTACTTTAGACTGTATTTTGAACGGCTCTAACTCCAGTTCTTGAGTTGCTTCTTTGATGGCTGATATAGTAGGTTCAATAGATGGTCCTAAGACTGGAACCGGTTTCTCCCAACTATGGGGCATTCGGCACCGCATGTTGTTGACGCTTCTACCAGATCGGACCCACTGGAAGCTACTACTTTTCAGGCTCACGGTGCTGATGCCGGAACTGTGAACGCTAGCTGAGCTGCGCGGCCTATGTCTGGAACCCGGCTTAATACTGTCAGTTTCGGATTGTATCGTTGTCTTCTTGTCAGGCATTATCATTTTCGGCACTGGCAGCTTTGGTTGTTGTCTGTTGACTGGCTCCGGTGTATCATAATCAAAAATGACATTTTGCATGACGATTGCGTCGTTCAGCAGGGTCGGCATAAACAGCTGCGGTTCCCGGCCAGGACACTCGACCAATACGACGCTCTGGTCTGCCAATAGCTTAAGGGTAAATTTCAATTGATTTGTTTTGAAATGCATGACTTTTTCGCCAAATTTATTCTCCTTACAAACTTTATTTTGGAATTTCACATTACTGGACAGAAAGAAAAATCAAAGTTATATAGTATATACATTAACATTTCAATATTTAAATATTGAAGTTTAACGCCTGGTTATATCTGAGCACAATATGATTCGAATTGAGTCTAGAAAAAGGGCGGAGCGAGTGATTGACCTTTATTTGAATTACGCGTCACCAGCTTCTTTGGAATTGTGCTTGACATGCCTCTTCTTCTGCTTAACCGGGCTCAACTTTTCTTTCTGTTCCATCGGTTCTTTGTGCGCTTTTTGAGATTTTCCCTCCTGACTTCCCTTATGTTCTTTTTGCTCTTTTTGTTCTTTTTCTTCTTTATAAAAAAGATGAAGTGGATTTACCAGAAGCTTGGATAGACCAACAGCCTGGGTGGCCAATGTAGCGGCCATAAAGGCGGCTGTATTTTTGGTAGAAGTCCGCTCCTTTTTCGGTTTCCGAGATACACATTGCGCCAACTCGCCAGCGGAGACGCGCTTCATGGCAACGCAATGACTAGAAATTTGAGGCAGAAATATCTCAGATTCGTAGCCATTACATTCCACAAGCACCACGTTTCCGTTCGAAATGAGCTTTAATTCGAAGCGTAGCTTGGAGACGTCACCGGCTCGCGCAATGCTGACTGAGGGCAGCTTCTTTGGCGCTAAGCCCGCCGTTGCTGTGGTCAGCTTGCGGTTCGCCTGACGCTGGCATCGGTGCAACGATGTGGGAGAATGGAAACTTAATTCACTAGCCCGAACCCTGGGCTGCCGGCTGCATATAACATTCGTTAAACACAATCGACCATGCTGCAGTACGGGCACAAATATTTCAGACTCATAGCCACGTGCTTCCACTAGGACGACACTCTTGTCCGCCAGCAACTGAATGTTAAATCTAATATGGCTTGTGGTTGCAGAGTGTTCGCACATACTTATTAAACGCAGTATCGAAAAATGCTGTCAATCACAACTGGAATTTGAAACGTTCAAAGGTTTTTAACTGAAATTGGCTATGCCCCTTTTTCCGTATAATCATTAATAGAATTGTTAATCTCTCTACGGCGAAACTTAGATTTAGCATCTATCCAAATGTTACTATTTTTTTTTTTTTTAATTTTGTGTTTTCAGAAACATGCTGCTCACTTTTGATTATTTTGTCAAAGAGTTCTGGCAAACTAATTTAACTAGGTTAAACAACATTTCTTAATCCAGCAATTGAGAGGGAATTGAAGTCGATTAATGCTAAAGCGAAATTCTCATAATGTATACAAACTTATATATGTATGCAAATGCAACTGTATTCAGTGCATCTGACAACAATTGGCGTTGCGTTGGCCTCCAATTGGCTTTTGATATCGCCTGCTGGACATCTTAATTTAATAGCCCCAATTTGCGTCAGTTTCCCACGAACCATCCAATAAAGTAAGCCACAAACCCGCCACGTTAGGCTATCAGCGATGCACCAGAATCCAATACCAAGCATTTTTCCTAATTGTATCAAAGAGCACCGAATTTATGGCCCAACTATTTAATGTCCGAGTTTCTGGCCGTGCACCGGCTGTGTTTTATGTGCCCCAAGTAAATGGAGTTGCGGGGGAAGGAAGAGGAGGCAGGACCATCCTTGATTGCAAAATAAAAAAAAAGAAACCTGCAACCAGTTTTGGCTGGCCAGCATCGTTTCAGTTGGTTGGCTTGGTTGGCCAGCACAGCGAAGTATAAAAAATTCAATTATAAGCGTTTATAATGATGTGGGTGTGGCTACACCTGGTTCGTACACTATTTCATCCAGTTTTTGAGTACAAGATATCTAGAAATGCTTTCCAATGTTGGTAAGCAGTTTGGTATTCGGTTGGAGCGTGGAGTCATGATTAGACTATTATCTTGAGTTGCAAACAATTTAAATTAGCGAAGGTAGTTCGATGGAGAATAGCCAACAGTCAGGACCTTTTCAATTTCAATTTACCTGTCACCTTAAACAAATTAGATTTTTTGACCTAATTTCTTATTGTATATCGTACATTTTTATGTTAAATTGATTCGCAGTGTTTAACATGCATTTTTATTTTGATTTGTGTTTTCTCAACGGAATTGACGTTGATTTGCGCCTATCCCAATGGTAAAGGCCCAGAATGATATTTCAACGCCTGTCGTCTGGCCAAGTAATTTAATCTGACAAGAGCCAAAAATAAATAGGCTTAATGTGTGAAGAAGTTGGCAGCAACGTGTTTGTTCCCAGCTGCCCCAGAGTTATATATATATAAATATATCTATATATATATTTGTATATATATTTCTATGTATACGTTTGTTTGGCTTCACTAGAATCGCCCCAAAGACATGAGACTAAGCACAAAATTTGCATAAGAAAGTGTGAAACATTCTCCATAGCTGAGGGTGTGTATGTGTGTCGGTGTGTGTTTGTGGGTATGAGTTTTCCGTAAGCCGTTTTCGCAGTTTTTGACAAATGACTTAAAGCCTTAAGGGTGCACAATTTTGAAAAGGGTTAAAGTAATTTGTTGAGACTGTTAAATATTGAATGTGGACCAACAACAAGGAAACAAAAACAAATACATAATAAAAATGAAATATATTCGTAAAAACAGTAACAAGGTCGACGACCATGTATACTTTTCGCCTAATATTGCCTAAGTGAAATAATAAAAAATATTCTCATATGAATATTTATAGTTGTCTTAAAAGTGACAATCAAATTTTTATAAACCATTGAGTTTCTGGGTCTAAATAAAATTTTGCCCATTATTGCCTTATAAAAGTGTGCCCTTAAACTAGATAAAATATGTCCACGAATAATATTTTGTCTGAAACAGGACATTCAAATATGTGTACAAGCATACAAATCGTCGTATGTTAAACGAGAATCTGAGTGTCAAACTTAAACCCTCAAATTCTTATACTAGTTGTCAGTTAATATGAAGGAGAAGCCAGTGCAACCTGTCTGTACGTCTATTCGCATTTATGAACGCCTCGATCTTGAAACTTATTACAGCTAAGATTTTTAATGTAGATCCCTCAAGTGTCCGCTTAGAACGAGTTACTGTTCAGCGACTCTTCCCATATCCATGTAATCGAGCAATGATAAAATCAAACCATTTTATAATCACCAAATTTGATATCTTCTCTCATTTATTGGCTAGCAGACGTTTCAGGGAATCCCCAAGACAAGCACTTCCGATTAGCGCACTTATTGTATTGATTAAAACTGTCTTTTTTCGTCCAGCGCATACATATAGTAATATTGTTAAAAGGTATTTAAAATAGCATATGCTTGACGATATGTAATTTACTATTCTATTTACATTTACATTTTGTCCGGTGCGTATTCCATATGTGCATGATATGACTGCCTTTAGCAAAGCTTGGTGTGCAATGTGACTTATGCCTTTGATGTACGCTCATAAGATAGGAATTTCACACCCATACTTGTACGCACACACGCATAGCCGTACAAGCACACACACACACACACAGATAAGTATCAGACAGAATGACATACTTTACCTACTTAGAGGAAGAAGAGCAAAGGAAAAGTTTCATGTACAGTTTCAGTTTGGTTTTATTGCGCCAACTTGGGCCGATGACAATGACGGTCGAGGTGTGTGTTTAATCTGTAAACTTATTTATGTATATGTGCACATATATATTTTAATGTATGTATGTATCTTTCCGGTCGTTTGGCTTACGCATTTCTCGTATATGTGTAATCGGTCCAAGGGATGAACCGAGCGACAAGACGGACACTTTCTTATGACACGACCGCGCACACTTTCACTTTACATAAGCTCTTTGTAGTGCTTACTGGCTGACATCCCCTCGGAGTGTCTGAGTATGTGTGTGTGTATGTGTGTGTTTCTGGGAGTGTGTTGACAAACACTTGATAATTCCTTGCATACACGCACTTTGCCTTGGATATGCTCGCATATATACGATAAGTAAGTGCGAGTATCTGCAAGATAATCCTACGTATCCACTGGGCTTGCGAGGCCATCTGCCAGTTGCTTGTTTGTGGCTGCCCGCAAGGGTCTCTTGAATTATTTTAAATTGTTTCTGCCATGCATTTTGATCGAGTTTTTATGTATTCATATGCGTGCACATCTATAAGACGAAATAAAATAAAAATAAAATAATGTTACCCTTCTCTGCATTTGCCAAAGGGCCATAAACTGTGATTTAGCGTCTTGGATTCGGATTTCTATCAGAATTTAATCTTTCAGATGGTTAAACGGCCAATTTAATGGGTTGTGGGTCGATTGTAAAGCAGCTTGGCAGCTTTTCATTCAAAAAAAAAAAAAAAAAGAAAAAGAAAACTTTCCGAGAGTTTTATTTTCTATAGATAGGCTTACATTAACGCTAAAAAGGATATAATAAAGTGTGTACAAATATATGTTCCTTTTCAGTTTATTCTATACTCCATTCTTTATTTAGTTGCCGGGCGTTGGTCGGCTCCTTTGTGGCTGACGTTGAGGACTTGCGCTGTTAATTAAATTAACGTGCAAATGGCTGAAATTACTTTCTGAAAAGTTTTTTTTCTGTTTGTTTAGCCCGGTTGGCAGAAGGCTTCGGGGACGAGCCATAGATCAAAGCAGCTCGCATGCTGTGCACCGCATCACATCTCGGGTTGCACTTGTGCATGTGGGTTCTGTGTGCCTTGTCAGCAGGTGTGCCAGCGTGTGTGCCGGCAGCGTGTGCATTCGTAGGGGTCCAGTAGCCCGCTTCAGTATAAAGTAGGTCAGTTGTTGTATATATGATGCCAATAAAAGTTAATGTGTCCTTGTGTGAATGGCGTATGGAATGCCGGTATTTGCTCCAGCTTGTTGATATTTTTTAATATTTATGGAATTTTAAAATGACAGTTAACATATTTACGTGGAGCTGCGCCCAGTTGAAATTGTATCATTTATTTGAAATCGGCGCGCAAAATATATCGTCAAACACTATCAACTGCTATCAGTTATCAAAATACCCTGTATTTATTTAAATGTTCTGTTGTTTTTATTGTCAAATTATCTTATCCCTTGATAGCAAGGTCAATACTTCATGTATATATATATACATATAAATATATATGTATATACATATATAGGGGGGAGAGCGCTGATTGCAAACTTCCTGTTTTTGCAATCTTATCTATAAGAAATTTGTCACATAAAGTCAAAATATCACAGAAGTAAGTAAAAAGTAGTACATTTTGGACACTGCTAAAATGGAGAGCTACGAATGCACTGTAACAATATTAGACCTCAACGACTATTGTTTGGAGTCAATTTTTGATTATCTGGAGGGAAAAGATCTTATTAATTTTGCAGAGACCTGTAGCCGGGCTCGGCAGGTGTTCAAGCATTGGTCCAGTTTTCGTTATGTCAATTTCTTTGTTGTTGAGGAGATTTCTACATATGAACTCAAATTGCTGTCGATTGTTGCAGAAAATGTAAGGAAATTGTGCATTTATGTTGATGATTTGAATGTTTTCCTGTCCAGGAACTATGGCAAAAACAAAAACTATTTTTTTAACAAGTTCTGTATGTTAATAAATGATATGACAAGTCTACAAAGTTTTGGTCTGTGGCAGTATACAAAAAAAGTTTCTACAAGAAGTATATTTTTAGCTCTTCAGAAGAAGAATTTAAAAAACTTACAAATTTGCGCTCCGAGTAAGTACATGTGCCCCCTTATATAAAATCTAGCTATATCTGAGTCTGTTTTTTTAGAATGCGAATCAGCTGCTCTGCGGTCCTTCACGGAACTGGAAATGCTATCATTGAACGTGCAGCTGAGCTCCAAGGATTTGTTGAAATCGTGCCAGTCAATGAGACAGCTGCGCGCTCTGCACTTGACGGATCGAGTGGGCAATTCAAGCCTTAAGGATATCATATACCATTGCTCAAACTTGCAAGAACTTAGTTTCTATATAAAAACCAAGAAAAATAATATTAACTGCACAACATTAAAAGGTACAGGCGCAACAGATATATTTGGTGCCCTAGCGGACAGCGCCAAGTGTTTGAAGTCGTTAATTGTTCATGGCATAATATGTGATCTGAACCAGGCTAAGCAGTTGGCTGGAATCAGCACCTTAAGGATACTCAAATGCAGCTTTGCCAATGCGGATTGTGTACTAGCTTTGAGAAATCTCACTCTTTTGGAAGAGCTACGAATTTCGTTTAAATGCGACGTTAATATTTCTTCCATATATTTAGATCTGATAAGGGAATGTGCTCATCTGTATTTGTTAAGCATAGTGGATTTTAATGTACAACCAGATTTCGCAATTAAAGCGGCTGAAGTGCGTAAAGAGTTTGTAAACAGGCGACCTTTGGTGTTGCAAATCTATGGACATCGAAATTCTACAATCGAACCAACTGCAGCGGATATAGATAAAAGGCTTGTGATTTACCGCTGCATGACTCTTCAGGAGTTACTAAAATTATGAAATATATGCTGCTCTTCGTAAATTGAATACGACTGGGATAATGTCAACAAACATATGTGTGATATATAATAGACATTTGTGATAATTCATGTGGGATGCATGGAAAATGGAGGAATAAGATTGTAAGAAACAAATTTATTTGTCATACAAGCATACCCGTATTCCCCTGAATGGAAATCGGGGCTCAGCTCTGTATTCATAATTATTTATGCGCTAATTTGTGCGTTTATTATTTGGTACTTATTGTAAATTACGTACTTAAGTTGTTATCAACTGAATACTTATTTAAATTTAATTCTAATTTAGATAACGCTTCCGCAGCCCGAGTTTCAAAATTTCCTTAGGGCCTAGCGCAAGGAAAAACTTCAAAGTTAAAATCATAAAAATGTACATTACAATAACAAAAACATTTTCAATTATGCTAAACTTCGAACTGTTAATTAAATCTGTCAGAAACAATTAGGCATAATGTTCACTTAAAAGCCACGAACAACGTTTATAATTAGAAATAATGAAGTAAAAGAAAAAATACAATTATTTACCGGGCAAACGAGTATTATATCTACAGAAGACATTGTTATATCAATGTCAATTGATGAGGTTGACTATGAGAGACCCTCTACACAGTTCAAATACAATCGTATAATTCTACTCAACAGTTTCGATGTGTACAAAGCTGATACACACTATTGGCTATTGTGCAGGGTATCTGGGTCTCAATCCAAGTGCAAACAATGCGATTGCGTCCCAAGAGACTGACAAATGAAATGTCTACGCAACAAAATAGCAACTGTCGGAGTCGGAAATACGTCAAGTGTGAGCGCTGAAAGCCTTCGATGAGATGAGTCCTGAGATGAGCTGGGTGGCCGGCTAGTGGATAAAGATGGCCAGGAAACGGCCGGGCGACAGCTTCCTCAATACCATCATTGTGTGCCGTGGAGTGGAGCGTTGACAATAACGGAAATTATTGTTTCTATTCTTATTTTCTAACATTGTGAGCAGCGTCTGCTGTCAGCCAGCTTTTCAGCTAAGATTACGACAAATATTGCCAAGCTTTGTGTGTCTGGACTCTGTAGCATTTTAAAGATTTAAAGTCGTAATAAAAAACGCCTATCTGAAATAAAATAACTAAAGCCGGTTATATGTGCTTATATATTTGTATTGCAAACATTTCGAAATGAAGAACTTTTTGTGCCGATTGTTTGGTAATTACCAAATAATCATTATATTCAAAAGAATAGAATAAAGGCAAAGCCCAAATCATGAAAACTATATATTTGTATATACTTGTCATGAAATGTGTAACGCATAGAAAAGCATCAACAGGCGAGCCAATATAGTCATGTCCCTCTGCCTGTTGCAAACCAGGACTTTTAAATGTTTTAAGGTCATCAGCTTACAATCCACATCGAACACACATCGTACTATTTCATATAGTTGCCATAATAAAGGTCGGTGGAAATATGGGTTCTTGAGTGTACTTATTTGTCTATGCTTGTGTGTATTTATGCATATAAATATGTTCTTCAATACAAATGCAGGGCAAGTTAACCTTGCGTATCAAATACAAATTAGCGTATTTGAAATTAAGTCGTACACACGCGATTCTTATAAATTAAGGTTTCCTACCTTGTTTGTATTGTTATGTTATGAAGCTGTATATAAAATCTCCCAAGTTTTATCTCTGCTTATATTATTACCCTAATTATGCTCTAGCGCTCTATTTAATTTTCGCTCTTTCTTCCAACTTATTTATATTTATGTCTGCAGCTTTACTTTTACTAAAATACTTTGAACTTCGTTGTTTTCAGTAATGGGTATATATAAATCTAACTAATGGATGCCAATATTTTGCTGTGCGTATGCAAATTTCGGGTAAGTGCATATTCACTTATTCATTATACAAATATTAATATGCAGTTAAGTTGACAATTGTGATTATCTCCTATTTTTGCATATTTACTTTTTTGTTCGTACATTTCTGCATAGAAATTATAAATAAATAGGTAAACGTGTAGGTTATCAATAATTGTCTCAAATTTGTAAATTTGCTCGTATTAACTTTATATGATTTTAAATGTGGTTTCTACCGATGCAAAAAATTCGATATATCAACGAAAACTTTGTGCTAGTTGCTTCTGTGTAACAGCTTTTACGATTATGATTAAAGTTTGGACAATATTTATTGGATTATATTAAAGTAAAGTTTTCATATCTCTTGTTATGGCTTATAAAAACTTGGCAGAAGTGCGATAATAAAAACGTGAATAATCGAAAGCATAAGTTAAAAAATAGTCATTTCTGGAGGGTCCACATATATATAGAAAAATTAAATATTCTGCATGTAAGGAGAAGACTTTGTCAGCATTTGCCATTCATTAATTAACTTGTAGTTCACAGAAGCTAGAAGACAAATTGCTCATGTTGCGGTCGATGTTGTTGTTTGAGAATTTCTTGAAAATTGCATTGCTTGACATAGAACCAACTGTGTGACCTTTTGACAGTTTATAGTCTTAACTTATGTACATTGCCCTACGGCAGGGACAGCAGCTAAGCCATAAGGAAAACTTTAAGTAAAGCCTTGTTGACTCTTGAACTTACTTGACAGCCTGCAGCTGATGCAGATTTTTGTCAACAATATTGGAGCAGAAACAGGGATATTTGCAAATTTTTTGGATTTTGTGCGAATTTCTTTGACGTTTCATGCAAACTTCTTGAAGTGTTTCAATTATGGCTTGAAAACTTGTTGACATTTATTGAACACTGGAAACAGAAAACAGGGCAATGTTGTCCTACCAGGCGCTTGTCAAGTGTCGCACCACCAACACATACAGCCTCACACACACACATACTCACTTACCCAAGCTGGCTTTAGATATGCCCTATGACAGTCTGGCTCAATAAAAGGACATTTGGTTTGGTATCTTACGTTGCTGTGAAAGTCATACTGTATTGCGTAGGTTGTCGGCCCCTCAAGCAAGTTTAGTCCATGAAAAGGATTTGCAGTAGTTCTCAACAAGTTTTCTGATCAAATATAATAACAATATCAAACACTAAGCCAATTTCAGCTTCAGCGCGTTTTGCTCAAAATAATTAACATTTTGCTGGTAAAAGCCCAAACGTATTTCTATTTTTGTTGCAAACATATTCCTTTATTTTGTTAGTAAATGCATTAATAATTTATTCAAAAGTATGCTTATGAAAAACCAATTTTTCTCGTTTTATACGAAGGGCATCAACAACAATAGATTCTGGCCCAAAAGATATGTTAGACGCAATAATTGCTTGGAAAATTATATTTAACCGTGAGCTAAAGCTTTGTAACTCATTCAAAACCAAAACCGTTTTGTTCCGCTCAAACTAGACATATTTAATCCAATTAATGCACAAGGACAACGCGCCGTTCCTTTTGAGACTTAATTGGTTTACGGTAAAGGTACAGGTAACATCAACCCAGTCAAATTGCCGTCGGTGCCCGGTTTGAAGTTTCAGCTTGTGGCCCCACTCACGGTCGGATATATAAAATGGCTAATTGGTTTTCCAGAAAGGTAACATAATTGGCATGTGGCTAACGACCAATCAGAATGTCTAATTGAATGTGCGCGAAAGGGTCTTAATGTCTTTTATACACTTGTAAGCTGATAGAAGGTCGGCTGGAGAGCCGCATTGACACTATTCACTTTAAATTTGTAAAATCATGCTGAGTCAACTCACCATCGATTGCCTATCTTCCCGTGTTTTGTTTGTACTCCAATATTCCTTTCCCATTTAGCATAATGCTAGTCAATGTAGCTCTTCAATCAAAAATGAAAAACCTATTTATGTTAATTTAAAACTACCACAAAAAAAAAAAAAAACAAATGAAATCAAATAAATTAACTTCCTTTTTATGCATATATTTTTGAACATGCATAATTTTTAAACAACTTAATCATACGCCTCGTCACATTATTATTATAAGCTTGTATAAGCATATATAAAATAATATGTTGGGATATGAACAAAGTTACTTTCTGTGAGTTTCGTGAACCCAACGAACCGACAATAAAAAGTTAATAATTTCTCGCAAACTGCATTAATATTTATGCTTTGCGAGGGAAATTAAATATTGGAATTTAATACATAATTAGTATGGCCTTTGGCCTTTGCTGTACGTGCGTTACGAGCACTCGTAATGCATTTAAATAAACTCGCTGCGTATATTCACAGATAAAAAAATTCCAGATATCAAGTAGGGAATGTGCTGCGCGCGAGTGTTATACAATTTACATGTACTTGGGGCTTGAACAAAGGGCTTGCAACTGATAATTGCTGTACTGAACTTCGGCAATATTTATTACAAAAAATCGATCATTAAATTTATAGCTGTTACTATTGTTATTATACTTATAGTTGAAGTGGTTTTAGCAATTGATTACTTCGTGCATAGTCTGTATATGCATAGCTGTACGCAACGTCTATACAATTGACAAAGAACTAGACTAAGTCAATGCGATAAAGCCAAAAACAGCAACAACACAACAACAAAAAGACAACAAAAGTGCTGACATTGTCTGATTGGCAATTGCAATTCACCAGACCACAAAACAAAGTGCAATACGTTTACTTGGCCAGTTCTTGGCGACTGGCGATTGTTTGATTTGATTTTCAGTTCAGGCTCAGTTGGTATACTCAGTGCAAAACTGAATGACGGGCCGTATAGCATTTCATTTTGATTCGTTTGCTATTTGTTTAGCACTCAATGACAAGCACTTTGGTAATTTATTTTGCACGTCGGCATATTTAATAGGCAGGCAGGACTCTCGACAGCTGACAAATTATGCCAATGTGGGCCGAGCGCTAATGCACTGGGCCTGAATAATTGATTTGGCATTGTGTCTGCGTTTTCAGTGCGTGAATGAGACACATGGTTTTGTTGTTGTTTCGGCTGGCATACAACATGTCACGCTGCGTATACGCAATTTGCATATAACGTATCCGCCCTGAGCTACTTTCATCGTACACGCAGAGGTACAGAGAGTACAACCTGATGCCTTTTGTTTATTACCTACCAATTGCAATTTGTAGCTGACGAAAAATTTCAATTACCGCCCAATTGCGAGGGTTACTCGTTAAGTTTCAGAGCAAAAATTTAACTCACATCAGTTGTATAGAATTCTTAAGCAAACCTGTCTAGTTTTGAGAACCTTAAAGCCCTTTAACTGTCATAAGATATTAAGACATTCGGACAAGATCGAATACTTGTCTTTCCCAACGGTAAGCGGACATTTTAGTTTTCCATGCGTAATTGATTTAATTATTACTCAAGCCGCAGAGCAGCTGACAAAATGTCTTGTCGGGTAAAATTCCACTCAATTGAATTTCCGAAAATAAACACCTGTCTTTAATTGGAAAGCCCACCCAATTCGACCGCCCAGCTGCAATTGATTTACAGGGGGCTGTACATTTTGTCGGTTTTGATTAAAATGCAACGCAAATACAAAATAAATAAATAAATAAATGCATTTACGGCGCCTTAAGGTCTTATTGTCCTCAACACAAATCAGCAAACAATTGCATGTTCGGTTTTGGTATTCGCAATTTGGCATGTTTATTATTCAAAAATTGTAAATAACTGTTTACAACTAAATTGGCATCATTTCCAGTATTACGTTGCATTCTGTTTATCTGCACGGCAAGCAAATTGTGCTTGTTATTTATGAAGACTTTAAGGTTTAATATTTAAATTATGCGCATTTTCGTATATTTATGAGGCAATAAAATTAATCTGACCAAAACTTCATTTCAATTGCATTTCCCATAACAAAGTCATTTAAAGTACCACATAATTTTGAAGATTTTCTTAAATCATTTTTCGGCCTGAAAGATCACTTACATGCATTAATTTGAAATATTAGATGGCATGCAAAAATAAATAATAATTGTGATGCTTATGTGTAATACGCAGCTCAATACAAAACAAATGTAAATAAAAAATGCAATCATATTGGTAGACATTGCTTCATCTCGACGAACAATAGCTCTCGCGCCCATTTCGAACAAGAATTTTCACACAAAATTTAACACATATCCGAGTGCCCGGAGCCTCACCTGTCGGCAATAATTCTTGCGCTCAGCTGGGCAGCTGCCGGGCGTTGAATTGAAAACAAGTTTCAATACGTATGGAGGCCGAGGCTGATGCGGTAGCCGTTGGTGATTAACTACGGGCTGCCTGGCAGGCGTCATTAAGTCCTGGCACAAGGCATTGGGCCGCCAATTCAAGGCTTCATGCAGGCCGCGACTTTTAATGGAAAACTTAAAGCGCTGCAAAAGTTTGTTAAAGTAGTTGCCGAGCCAAAGCGAAGCTGCCAGCTGCACTTAATTTGAAGGCAGCTCATTTGCGCTTGCCGGCACTATGCTTTCCGTTTTACTTTCATTTTTTTTTATTTTTTCTTTGTATTTATTTATAACTTCTGTGTGGGTTATAGGGGAATATGCAAAAACTTAGACAGCAGTTTCTTATTGTTGCCCTCCTCGCCTGTGTCTCTGCTCTACTTTCCTCTTCTTATCCATAACGCGCTGTATGCGTGTAATCTACTCAAAGCAAATAAATTTTTAATGTTGACTAATGTAGAAAATGTGCACAGAAATTTACCTGCTCCTTGCCATCCTGCCCAAGTAAGCCAACGGCAAGCCAAGACCAGAGCTAAGGCCCAGCACGATAAAGTTGCTGCAAGCTAGCGTAAATTGCAACAGGCTCGGGATGCAGCTGTAGGCGATGTTACAAATTGAAAATGGAATCGTGGACCAACTTTCTAAGGCAAACAAATCAGTAAGCATGCAACCAACCAAGAAGAAAACAAGCTGCAAACTCATCGTAATTCTGAACATTTTGAGCTTTTTCCCTTCTCAATCTTAATAGGACAACAGATACACACTGACATGAAAATAAGAAAATAATAAGAATCCCGATTTCGCATAATTATGTGAAAATAAAAGCTGAACAATAAAACTGAAGACAATTGCATTAAGACAGTCATTTAAAATAATTTGAAACAGACAGGGTAAAACTTTTGCCGGCCCTCCCCCTCCGTCGACTTGCTGCACAAACGTTGAGCATATTTTAAATACGTATAAAAGTAAAACAAATACTGCCAAAAAGAAATGAAATCAAAACAAACATGAAACAAACCTATAGCTAATGGTAACAACAAACGGCAGAACTCATAACGAGAACAACAGGCGGCCATGCAAATGGCTCGAAGAGCTGACTGCGACAACGAGAACTAGCCGGCATCTACGGACGTTAAAAGGCTGCTGGCCTTTTGTTTTGATAATGAATAACAGAGCCGAGTCGAGCATTGGGCCAGCTAGCAACTAAAAACTGGCCAAACATTAACGAGCATCTGCGAAAAACTTGCAACTTGCAGTTGAAACTGTAAATTGGTACTTGCCAACTAGATGGGTGGGATCCGAGTGCTAGGGTAGGATAGGGATGGGGTTTGGGACGATGTCGGTGCTGTTTGCATTGTTTGCAAAATGCTTCAAGTAAATTATGCAGAATTGCAGAAGCGAAAGTTAAGCGCACAACAAAGTGGAATTTATGCTGGTTGTCTTCGTTTGCCAGTGATGTCTTTGTAGAGCTGCTGTTGTTTTTAATAAACTTAATAAGTTTGCAATTTGTTGGTGCAATCAGCGAAGGACAGTGGCAGTAGCCACCGAAATTGCCACTCCGCTAACATGCAAATCGGCAGCTTGGCAACACATGGCGTATACTTAATTTGGGCACAAATTATGCATGCGACACGCGATAAACTAATTTGAAAAGAACATTGCCCAAAACTTTCACGAAAATTTACATTAAAATTATTTTGTGAAAATAACTAAATTATGGATTATTTACTTGTTAAGGCCTAAGCGAACATAACCCTTATTATTAAATCAGTCAACTGAATTATGTTAAATATAGGTAAAATTATATTGAATCGAAAATAATCGCTTATCTAAAATATTATTGCGGATTTTTATATTATTTAACAGCTAACCAGTTCATAAAAGTTAAAAAATAAAGGCCTCACCACAAAATTAAAGCTTTATAAACTGTGTACAACAAATAAAGATGGAGCTGGGTTTGCTTCCACCCGGCTCCCTAAATAAGCAAACATATGCGGCAAGACCCGGGGAACAAATTGAATTTGCGCGCAGACCCAAAGAGCATAACAAATAGACGATACGTATACGCCATGTTCGCCGACGACAAAGCAAACCGCAAAACACACGTGGACGCCAGTTGATAACCAAGACAGTGGACACAAAAAAATCACTCACTCAACCAGTCAGGTAGTCAGGCAGTCTGTCAGTCAGCCAGTCACCTACCTATCTAGTCGGGCAGTTGTTCATCCGTGACGCTTAGATATTTGGCATGCGTGGCGTTAGTCCAGCCTGGGGCATGGCCACAGCTGTTGTTAACCAAATCCCGACACACACAACATCATCTTGGTCAGGCGGCGACTGGCTAATGTCGCCACAGATGACAGTTAACAGTTAGCAACGTGCCAGGTAAATAAATCAAACAAAAATGGCTGCTTTGGCTACGTGACCAACGAAATCCACAGTCCACAGTCATAGATTCAACGTCACTTGGGCAAGACACGCCGCACAGTTTGACTGATTATCGGTCGGCTGCTTATGACACATAGCCAAGGGGAAGCAAAAACTGGCTCCAAGATGTGCGTGACGCAAATTGCAGACCAGTTACAGACAGCAAGCAAGGCTGCCAAGGTTGAGCACGTTGGGCACGTTGAGCAGCTGCATTGACAAATGGGCGGCCTGCTAGATGTCTAGAGTCCTTTGTCTCCGATCAATGTCCATCGATGACATGACACGGCCAACAGTTGAACAATCTTACCGGTTAACTGTTGCCGACACGTCGAACAAGCTTTTGGTCAGAAGTAAAGATGCAAATTAAATACTTTGTATTTATGGAATCGTTTATGATCAACTTTAAACTACATTGAGCCTAAGCACTAACGGCAAAGTTAAATGCATAAAACTCCGTTTTCGACGACGCTTTTTCCAGGCGCACATTAATTTTGTTAGCAACATGCAATGGAAATTTAAGATTGCTGAACAATGGTGTTTGACCTCGCCTGACCGGGTGAACTGGCACCAGCTGACCCAGGCGAAGGCCCACACCCAGGACACTGATATACCATGCATGTGCATGCGATTCCATTCGAGCGCCTGTAACTGCAGCAGTGAGTGTGTAATAAGGCTGCATATATTATGGCATATATATTGTGCCATATATTAGAGGCTTTGCCAGCAATTTCTCTCACCCTGGGCTGGACGTCGGGCGCAGGGCGTGGAGCGTAGAGCGTGAGGCCTTTGGCTTGGTCCACGTCCTCGTTGTTGCAGTTGTTTGCCTTGCGGTGATCACTCAATTTGAATTAATTTGCGGCTGTCATCCAACCTAAAATTAGTTTATGCCGATTTGCATAAGCCAAAATGGAAGCTAGCTGAAAGTTTGGTAGCTGGCTTCATTTTGGCTACCAGGCAACAACAATAAACAATTCATAGCATGTATAAAAGACAGCATTTCTCTAAACATTTTATATTATTATTTAAGAATTTTGTTTTTTATTACTCTGTGATTAAATATCGAGGCACTAAGACTCGATTACTTCACTTACTAAATATCGATACATTGGCTAAATGACGCTATGATAATACTTTTATCTGTATTTCCCCCTTTTCACTGTGTCGCTCGGCAGGCTTTTAACGTCAGCAACTGAAAAGCTAGCAGCAGCTGGCTCAAAGCCTGGCTATTTGAAGTTTCGTGGTTTTTGAAGCACTTCACCAAAAAAATGAAAGTGGAGAAAAAAACATAAAACCGAATATTTTGGCACTTTGCTTTGGCCTTTTGTCGACTAATTCCGTTTTTGTTTATTTCCCTATACACACTCACACGGACTTGGTAGTTTTTATGCTCTGCGGCAGTCACAGTTGAGAACAAACTGCAATTTGGTCGCTTTAGAGATGCCACACAGCAGCTGTGTCTCCCAGTGCATATGTATGCATGCTGCAGAGGATTAACGTGCCACAAGACCAAAGAGCGGATTTTTGGTAGCAGCTGGCAAGAAAAAACTTTAAGTCTTGACTTTGTTCAGAGCTAAATACGATACGCTGAAAACTTTAACTTATTAACTTTTTTATTATTTGTATCCATTTGACAAGCTTTTAAACTCCATCTTAGAGCATATTTGTATTTAAGTCATATGGAAGATATATTCTCTCAGCTAGCAAGCCATGTTTAATCTGATGTCAAGAAACCAAAATTCGTTTTTGATTCACACCACAGACAGACATTCAACAAATAATAGTTTTTATAAAAAAAAAATATGAAATAATTTTAAAAACAAAAAGTGAATTGGAAACAAATGCATGCGGACATGGACACAAAAATGGAATCGAAGAAGAAACGGCAGCGACTAAAAGGTAAAGTTCGAAATGGAGGGAAGCTCGTGGATGATGTGGACCAACTCTCACGCATGCCCGGCCATTGTCCTGTAGGGAAATGCTGTGATATTATATTTCCATCCAATGTTATGATGCACATGCTGCAGAAGCACGCAAACGATTCGGGCTGCACAAACTCTGAGGTATATGACCATCGGCCGCTGCTGCTGAGCTTTGATCCGACGAGCATGGAGTACGGAGAAAATTATTGCGTGGCCAGCCTCATGTATGGAGGAATGGAGGGCAAGCCAGCAACGCAGCCGGGTCTACAGAACCTGAGCCTACCAAATTCGTCTCTGATAAACAATCAGCACATGTATGATAATTATTTGCCCCTAATGATGATGGCTTGCCGAAGTACTTGGTTTGCGGAAATCAAAGACAAACAGCTCGAACACGAACTGGCCTCCATGAATGCCGGCAAGGCCGGCCTCTATGTATTTTGGCTGGTGGCGCCCATCACAACTCGCAAGCTGTATTATACACTAACCATTTACGATCGCCAATACGTTAGTTCGCGGAGTGCGGTGCGCGTTGTGCGCGACTATACACACTTCCAGAATCCCAGTGATTTTCTGCCTCACGATGAAAACTATATGTTGTTGCGTGACTCCGAGGTCGTTGAGCTAATGAGCATTGGCAAAAAATCTGGCAAAAAACAAACGGACCAAAAGCCCGGCATACCAATGGAATTGATAGTTTACCAAGCCCCGCTAAGGCCAAAGACGCCTCGCGGCAGTCATAAAGATTTGCAGGTGGCACTAAAACATGCCCAAGACTTATATACCAGGTATATATTGCCACGCACCAAAGGTTCTGTCAAACGCGGTATTTCGGGCAGGCTGCTGCTCACGAGAAAGCCACGGTCCAAGGCAACTGGACAGTGTCCACGGTCCTTTCATTAAATGTTTCTATTTAAAATATGTTATGTTCGGACCAAGTACCTCCTGCGGGCCTAAAATTTTGAGTTAATTGCTTTCAATAAAATATGTATTTTTATGTTACGTTTGAGGAAGGGCATTTCCCAAATATATTCTTAAATAATAAAATTATATGAAATGAATTGTATCAATGGCGCAGAGCTTTCAAATTTGTGGCAAGTTGCCAGGATACGAACAGCATTAGTTCAATTTGAGTGCTCAGCACATTATTATTTAATAAGCTGGCAGCTGATTGAAAAGCAAGTGCGCATAAATTGCCAAGGGTGGGACACTTCCCACAGCCGCAAGGTGTGTGGACTAAGCAGCTTTTATGCATACACCTACACACACATGCACACACACACACACGTCACAGCCACCGCCACTTGAATACGCATGCAACAATTCAGCATACCATGTAAATGACGCTAATTGTATTACAATTTGCTTGAATGCCTAAAAGCGGGCAATGGCAAATCACAAACCGCTTAGTTCGGATATTATATGGACACAGTGTTGGGCCGTGGGCTGGGCAATTGTTGCGCATTTGATCTGCACCAGCTCAAAAGGCAGCCAGCCCAGCGCCCGCACCCACACCCGCACCCGCCCATCCCCAGTGTAGCCAACCACTTGCCACACATGCAATTTTAATCATGGGAAATATGTGTGCTGTGCTGCTGCACTGCAGCCACGATGATGAAGCGTGGCAATTGAATGGTTTGGGTAAGTGGCGCCAATGTGGTAAGCAGCCCGCACCCACTTGAATTATGCCTTTCATAGTAGTTATTCACTGTTATCGGTGGTTGGATAAGAATGCTAGCGACGCTGTCCAAGCCACAAGTCGGTGCCATACGAATGACAGCTAGTAACTGGGCTTGTGTTTGTGCACTTTATCTGAATGTTCTACATGCCCATAATCTGTACATTTACTCATGCGTCAAAGCGGACTGTGTGCAGCCCGAAGTATGAACCAAAATGCATTAATTGCCATGACAACCTAAAGTAATTACAAGCTATATATAATCAAACTGAGTCGTATTATGATATACCACTAAAAAAATCAGCATAAATTACACTAAATTGAAACATCATTTAATCTCTAATAATAAATATTAATTTAAATTTAAGCTACGTGTTGGGAAGTCAGTTGAAATTAAAACATTAATTATTTTAGTTTAACAGGGCTTAGCTACATATTTAGGCTACCTAATCTTTCCGTATGTGCGAGCCAGATATTATCGATATGAATAGATTTATATTCTGGCATAAAATTTTGGGTGCACTGTCAATCATACTGTTAGTTATTCTGTAGCAGAGTGTAATCTCCAGACATTTAAATATCTTTCATGCATACAAGTTAGCGCAGGAAGGGCTCTGAGGTTGGGTATACGTTTCGCATCCTTCTCATAGATGCATTTGCTTGGCATGGTTGGGTACCAGAAAGCATAACAGAATAAAGGCACTTGGATGTGAATTTCTAGGAATTTTATATTATTAAAATATATTACGCTCTTTGCCAGACTTGGCCTGCACTCAAACAAATGTAAAGTCGTACACAGTCTATAGCGTTCCGACAGGGTTTTATTATTTTTATTTTATTATATAACTGTAAGATGGGTAAATTTTGTCGATTAAATTCTCGTTTGTTGAGGAACTGCAAGATCTCCAAGAGCTTTAGCCGCGTTAGCTTGTTTAATTGAATTCCTTAAGCTCGTCATACCTTGTTATGCACCTACTTGCACCTAGTCAAAAGCGGAAATCCGTTGGGCTTAGCTTTTGTTAAAATGGCAATTTGTATTAATCATAGCAGCCCTTCGATATGGACAGAACCTCTCCACTTAATTTACTCGAGCAATCTCATTTTAGGCAAATAACATTGTACCTATTCAATATTGTCACGTGTTATGTCTAGGCTTATGGTCTTCAAGTTTGGACAGAGCTCTTGTGCTAGGACTTACAGGCACTTACCGCCGTCGTGGATGTAAAGGATGCCATTTTTACAAAATTTTTGAAAAACTAAGCCACTTCGTAGCGCTCTCGTTGTCTATGACATCTTGAAGACAAAGTTTTTAAATAGGTCGCGATTGTAAAAAAAGCTTTGTGCACTTTTTGCATGCGCACGTCCCAAGCTGATTTGATCCTTCAACTTTTTTTTTATGTGCATGTACATTGTGCCCAGTTCTTCTGAGCTTGGCTCTACAACTGTTAGTCTTTTAGTTAAAATAATCGATGCAATTTCGTAACGTTGTTAAATGTAGACAGATGAAAAATATTTTAAAATCTCTTTCTCGTTCATCGATTACAATCAAAAGTAGCCGAATTGGGAAAGATCTAATATTCGCGATTGTTTTGAAATGCAAAGGGTGTGCTCAACTAAAAATACCCTATGTACCTATAATAAACACACAGTACCTGAACCAATAAATAAATATAGCGAGAGGTCGAATGATAGTGGGACTACGTGTTTGAGAAAAAGCGATAAAAAAAGGAGTAAAAGAGACAGAAAGATTCAACACAATAGGTAATGAGAGATGGAGAAGGGGGCAATTAGTAGTGGGAGACAAAGTTCAAGAAAGAAGAGGGAAATGTAAAGGTAAAGTAAAGGTTAAATGCATTTAGCATATGAAGGGCGACACTTCTCTGTATAAAACAAGTACTTTTATTCCTGATATCCACACTTAAACATAATCAGTGTATGGTTTTAAGATCCGCAAAAAACATTTTATGTCTAGATCATCGATGCAATAGTAAAATTGTCGCTGGCTCGGTGCACAGTTCGAAACAAGGCCCGCCTGGTCTTGTTTAATATTTTAAAAATTAAATGTTTAGTAAAGATTGCCAGTTGTAAAAAGAATGTTGAAATTCGTGTTTGTTTTCATAAACAAGACGCAGGATAAAGTTTAACCAATATGTATGTTTCGATATATGCAGTGGCTGGAGCTTAACTTATTTACAAACTGGATCTGGATTCATCTCTGGCTTACCTTCTAAGGACTAAGCTTCAGTTCATAATAATAACTAAACGGGAGTTATGGGCTTCAACTGGTTCAGATCAAAACCGGTTCGCAGTCTTTTTGCCTATAGAGCAGAAAAAGTTCCGCCACTTCAAGAAGAACTCAGCTTATTCGATTGCTCACCTTAAATGTGTTGACAACAACAAGGCAACTAGAAAGTAAGGGTTAATATATTGCTATATATATATATTTATTTATATATATTGCCTGCTTGCACTCCAGATGTGTCAAGAGCTGATGTTTTTTGCCAGTGCCAGTAAAAAAAGGTTGCATATAACGAATGTGAATGCCAGGAAAACGATTCAAGTGCTTGACTGCTCGACAAATTCAGAGCAATGTAGCCCGCCCACAACCATTCACTCGTTCCACCTACAAAAGCGCTTTATCACATTCTCGGCAGTTTGCTTCGCCTTATACTGCATACTTACATACAAAGATATATTGTTTACTGCCTGGTTGCAGTTTTTGTTCCCACAACCTTCACGCAGAATATGTCCATGTGCTCTTGTGATATACGTTTTGCCATCCAAACTGTCATCTTTGGGTTGCCGGCAGTGACAATGTGAGGCAGCATGGGATAAAAAATGCTGCCAAGAGGCTGCAGCTGCAGCTGCAACTGCAGCACTTGAAGTCTGCGGCATGGGAAAGTACCAGCTCAGTTGGATCGGTCGGGGATTAGCCGAATGTTCGTAAGATGTGTGGCACAAAATGATGTTAGTGGCAAGTGGAAAAACTACACAGAAAACGTTGCAACTTGAGACTGATGTGGCCATTTTGCTGGCAGCAATAACAATTTCAATTTGACATGCCCGTCCCAAAAAGTCATTAACATGTCAGTTCATGCATATCTATATACTCGTATGCTCACACATACATGCACGTCAACTATCACCTGAAGCTCTAGAAACTTTTACGTGTAGGTAACAATTTGAGAGATTGAACTGAAGCTTAACTTTAAAATAATTCAAATTTAATTTGACTGCCCAATGTAAGCTACGTAAATATTTGTGTAGTTGATAATCCTGAAATGGTTTTGGCTGCTTTTTCTCATTGTTCAAATAATTATTTATAAGCTCAGCCAAAGATCCAAATTTGTTAAATAAGGATTTAACAGTTCACATTTAAACATAGATCTCTAGGTCACAACTCACTTGACTTATGGTGCAATTTAGGTGAATGGAAGTGAGTGCACTGATTGGTTTCTTTGCACACAACAAACAAACCTGGCTCACTTTGTTTGTGTTTGCTGTACATGAACATTAACACTTTGCCACTAATGATAAATAGCTCAAGAAGTGGAAGCTTAAAGTACAAACTACAATAGCTGGGTAGAAGCTGTGGGCCAGCACAACAACAATAAACGACAGCTACAATATAACATTATTAATAGAGCTAAGTGTTCAACAAGGGTCCCTAAAGGAAAGGAAAGTTTACTTTCGAAGTCAAGCTGGTTGCCAAGTTACTTGTTTGAAGCTTGTTACATGCGTTTTCTTGGCTGCGGTTTCTGTTTACAAGTAACTGCCTTGAGGGCGATGATTGCTTGGTTGGTTCTATCGGAGTTGTTGCATATGACCTCTATTTTGATTAGTTTTCAAACAATTGTAACCAAAACTTAAAGCATTTAATTGATTTGCATTTGAATGTGTATGCTAAATGCTGCAGATCTCTTATTAAACCATTTGTATTTTACGACTTTCAAGCCTAAATCATTTCTAATTTATGGCATCATTTTGTTTTAATAGTCAAACGATATATCCAACAGATAAATGTGTCACATACACTCACGCACGCCCACAATTGATTTACCAAAAAATTATGTTATTTTGAAATTTTGTTGAAATTTATGATGCCATTCGTAACGTTAAATTGGGGGAGTCTCGAAACGAGATTTAAACTTTAATACTGGGCAATTGTATTGTATTTGGCCTCGGTGCGCAGGTTTATGAGTTGGTTTGTTTTTATCACTTGAAC